AACCAGAATTTAGCTCGGAGTCCGCGGGGCTATTTATAGCATTTTTAGCATTTCTAACTTAATATCAGCATGATAATAATAAAATAAATTTTTGCAGCCTAACCAGGTTGAAGGGCGCAGTATCAAGAACGCTGACATTGAGGAGAAATTTTAAAAGCAATATGAGAGGTCATTGGGGTATATCAGGCGCCTGTTCAGAGTGACTCCGAATTACGCTCAAAACCTGCGTAACCAAGAATAGGGTTGAAATTCCCGATCACTAAGGGGCTGAAGGAACACCGTTCCCATGATTCTTTTAGCGCGGGCCGGGGCACTTGGGGGGTATAGCAAATGGTCTATTACGCTATGGAAATAGGGTATATAGGGGGTCACTTGATCGAATGACGTTTTAGCGAATGCCCGCAGACTGTCGCCGCGAAGCGGCGTAAAGCGCGAAACACATGTACGACGAAACCGTCCGATCCGACGTCCGACCGCGCAATACGACGGTCGGAGGAGAAGGTTTTCAACGTTCTCCGATGCTACGAAAACCCTCTCCCCCCAAGGTCATTCCGGCAGTCCGCACGTCGGATCGGAAGGTTTCGTCGTACATGTGTTTCCCGCTTAAGCGCAGCGCGGCGGATGGGTTAACGCGGTTAACGCGCGCCCCAATTATTGGCTAAAACGTCGATTCGCTCAAATGTCGCTGTTCGCTGAAACGTCATTCGCTCATGTGATATGGACCCGTACACAGGGACACGCGATTCGGAAGTGTTATCGCGACTCCATCTGTACGATTTGTCCTACGTATTGCGACGCTGTCCCTGACGAGGCGATAACGGTGCCCAGAGCAGAAGCGCGCCACCGGATTTCGCCCGAGCTGCGCCACCGGTCACGCCGTCGACACAAAGACGACAGCGGCGGTGAATCGGGCAGATGAGAAATAAAAAAAGAACGGGCGGAGTCGATGCTCAAAACGTTCGCTGCCGCCGCCACGCAACGGGTTCAACGGCCGCCGGGAGCGCCTGCCCGCCACGCTTTGGCCACTTTGGCCCGTCGTCTGCTTCGCGAACTCGCTTCGACAGTGTGGACAACTGAACCCGAAAACGGGAGCTACACCATCCGCGCCGAATAATGAAAAGGAACTCAAATGATCGAGTACAATACTACGCCGTGAGAGACACGGAAATAAACACATGGGAGCAAAAACATGGGCGCCTCTCGCGTAGCAACATTTGCTTGCCCTGTTCGCTTATCATTTGCAATTCACTTGGCATTCATTCTACGCATGCGATGAAAATTTAATTCTAACCATGCACTTTCTCCTGAAACGGACGAGAAAACATCTCCTGTTATTCCGATCTAACGAGTGTTCCCCCAGGGAGCCAGAGACGACTAGAAATAAGATGGTCCAACACCGTTGGCTAGCGGAAAATGGCCATTGCGCAGTCCTAGCTTTCAGTGGTCAACAGCAGCCCGGAACCTTCCAGCTACACCACCGCGCAGAATGCGTCGCTCTCAAACGCTCGCAGAAACCGAAGGACGACAAAAAAAGAAAACGAAAGAACAATGGCGAAATAAAAATGTCAGCCGGAACAGGCGTGGCCAAACACGCGAAAAAAATATATGTGCATGAAAAAAAAAAAGTATATATACACAGGATGTGTATATATATATATACAGGATATTCCACGCAAGAGCGACAAAAATTCCTAAAATTAGTCTATTCGAGGTAAAAAAATTTTTTTTCTCGGGACCGCATTGCTCCTGGTGCCGGACGTCAGAAAATGCGCGATACGTAAGAATTGGTTCGCTAATTAATTAAGAAATGACAATTCACATTTTAATTAGTGAAATTAGACGTATGGTTCCAATTAGAAACTTGCTGAGCGTCATCGAAAACACCCAAATCAGAAAGGACTTTGAACGCGTGAGAAGCGCAGTAGTGCACTAAAGTTCCCCCTCGTGGAGCAGGTACAAGGCTAGCGGTCGCGGTAAGTAGCCCGCGCAATTTTTCCGCCTCTTACAAAAGCCCTAGCCTTGTACTTCCCTGCTCCACGAGTGGTAACTTTAGCGCACTACTACGCTACTTTACGCGCTCCGCGCTCCAAGTCTTTCTGAAAATTACTGACTAGGGGGTTTTCGATGACGCTCAGCAAGTTTCTAATTGAAGCCACGTGTCTATTTTCACTAAAAAAAAGTTAAATAGTCACTTTTAGTACATTACCGAACAAATTAGTAAGTATCGCGCGTTTTCTGAAGTCCGCCACCAGGAGTAATGCGATCCCGAGAAAATGTTTCTTTTACCTCGAGTACACTAATTTTAGGAATTCTTGTCACTCCCATGTGAAACACCCTGCATATATACTGTAGATTATATATATATATATATGTGCAAAAGTAAGGTGCGCGGACACAGCAGCCCTAGGATGATAAAAATAAAATTCTTATTTAATGGCGAAAAAAGTCACGCAAGAAAAAAGGGTGAAGTGCAGAAAAACAGTTGTATTTGTTTACGGGAATAATGAAGGCTAGGCACAAGGACTTTAAAAAAAAAATAAAAAAAATATTAAATAGAAATAAGAAAGGAGCCTGACGTCCAGGCCCCTTTCTTATTTCTATTCATTATTTTTTTTTTTATTTATTTTTGTAAGTTCTCGTGTTTTAACTTTGACATTTATTCCGTCCTTTTTCAAGTTTGTTTTCCGTGTAACTAGAGTTCTTCTACCTAGACTTCATTATTCCCGTAAACTAATACAACTTTTTTTCGGGACTTGACCTTTTTTTCTTGAGTGACTTTTTTCGCCATTAAATTAGAATTTTATTTTTACCATCCTACGGCTGCTGTGTCCGCGCACCTTACTTTGGCCTATACATCAACGGAAGCATTACTATACATCAACGGAAGCATTTGTAAACATTGGCCACTTTATATATATATATATTATGTGTCTACTAGTTGCATCACGATAGTACACTCAAGCTGATCTTCGGCGATAATCCCAGATTCCAACACTTTGAAGGGAATTAAGCGAAGGGACCTTGACCGCCTTGACGGAACAAAAAGACAACGGAACATTTTTTTCGCCGAACAACGCTCGGCGGAATCCTACACGGGCATTACGAGAAAATAAAATAAAAAATTGACAAAAAAAGCGATCGCAATTTTTTTTTTTTTCTTCTACCGTGAACTACTTTTTCCCGCTTCCTGCCCGAAAACTACTTTTCCCACGAAAGCAGACGAGAGAAATAAAAAAATAAAGACAGTGAAGGCCAACCCCGTTGTTCCTAAGAAAATCTCGTCAATTTTATTTTACAACTATTTAGCTCTTCGCAAATGTAGTCCAACAGCTGCCAGATCAAGGTACCGGTTTCTTGAGAAACAACGTTTGAATACCAAGTGCGTAAAACCTGAGAGCGCCTCAATAGTTCCGTTAGAGAAAGCAGACGGCGGGACATTGAGAAATCGCCTTTCGGAACAAAAAAAAAACAAAAAAAAAAACTTAGGTCCTTTGATGATTACTGACATCGGGGTCATCGAACTCTCACTGACCATCCTTTTCCAAACATTTCGGGCTTTCGTCTATTCACCGGCATTAATTATGTCATTCGATGAACGCTTCGACCTTCGTCTGGCCACCCTTTAATAACGTCCATCCATTAGCACGTTTAATGGGGCTACGGTCGCGGACAAATTGGGTCAAATTCGCCTTCCGGCCCGAAGAGACGCGAGTCTGTTGGCGCGCGTCGCCGATAAATTGTGTCCGCATAAAACTGTCACGTCGAATGGCAAGCGATAAAGGCTTACGAGATCGCCTTAGCCCCCCTCCGGGAACCCGACAACACGACATAAGACCGCCCTACAGCACCGTGCCCCGCTTAACCCAGTCTTCGATTCACTCGTTTTCCAATTCCTGATTACGCCCTTTTTCTCTTCTTTTCGTGCGCGACTACTAGGTTCTCCTTTGTTTTCTTTATTTTATTTTAACACACTCCTCACTTCATACATATGCATACTTGCGAAATCAGACTACGGTACTGTCCGATTTAAAGACGAAATACTATATCATACTTGCACAAAAATAAAAAAATAAAAAAAAGTTATCACGGATGCGAAGATGCGAGCGTCTGCCGAGTTTAAAAATGGGGCGTGCCGGGCGCGGACACAGAATACGATAACTCACGCTTACGAACAATAATCATAATATATATATACATAAAAAAACAAGAGCAAAACCTTGGTTCAAACAAGAAAGGCCGTCCCGGTTTGTAGTATGCTCTAAATAATTGTACAACTACGATAAACCGATGTAAATCGAGCGGCAGAGAAAGCTGTGGATCGCTAAGGACCGCACCTCCTTTTGAAGGTCAGAAAATCTTTGCAAAGATGCGAGCCACACGGTACCCACGAAGTCCGAGATCGGCCGGCGTGGTGCCCACCGTGGTGCCCTTTAAAGGCAGCCTAAAAATCTCATCAGCTCAAATTAGCGGAACAAACTCGGATGAGTCGAAATCCCCACGCCCCGCGACAGCTCTCAGCGCCCGCAAATCGCTCTCTGCTTGTCCGCTAGTTCTCCAATCAAACTTTTCCCCCTCCCCCTGAGAAATTGCGTATGAACATTTCTGCCTAACTACGTGTACATATTACATCATATCCGTAAAAGTTTACGCGCTTTTGTTTTGAAAGTACCTTCAAAACGTCCCCGGAACTTGCAAACCCAGAGCTGTGCTTGAACGCGATGACATGGTAGCGAACGCGGCGTGGTACGGCTTCCTTCGGTACGACCCTGGAAGCTTCTGAGAGTTACCAGAAGCAGCGTAAACCGCGAGAAAAGGTTAAAGCGCACTCTTTTTTCTTTTGCGGTGCTCACAGACAGTTGAAATGGTTAGGTTTTAAGCCTAAACTGACTGGTCTGCTATCGGCTGTCGCTAGCCCAGGAAACCCCATAGTGGCGTGCAGTGGCGAAGACACGAGTGCCACAAAGTGCCGCGGGGTCGAGATGTGCGAAAAGTGCACTCACGCTCTTTCTCATGGTCGAATCCGACTACCACAAAGTAGTCTGCGAGCCTGGACATCCTACATTGACGTAAAAACGGCAATCCATCGAGCTGCCAAGCCAGCCTGCGTCTCCATCTTCCCACCGGGGATTGAACGAGCGCGCATGCGTCAAGCGCGCCAAGTCCGCGTGCAGGAAGTTGTGAAATGCGCTCATTTCCCGTTTTTGAGTTTTTGCTTGATCAGTTAGCTATGGTTTTTAGTCAAATGCGCTCGTTTGTTCAGCGCTAGAACCGCTTCAAAATTGAACCTTTGCCATTGTGAGAACGTCACTTAAATTGCTGGAGCTGCGATGTCATTAGTTTGATTTCGTCCATAGAAAGTTTTGTTTTAGTGTTTTAGTCCTCCCGCTTGAACTTACTTAATTAATAAACATTAAACGTAATTTTTTTTTAAATTCTAATTTTTTTAATTTAAGTTTGAGATGTGATGACGACCCTAATTTTATTAAAACGTTTATGGTTTTCTTAGGTTCTATAGCACGTCGCTTCTGCCCCCTGGGTGTGCGTTTAAAACACAACCGAGATAGTCTGTCTTGGATGTGACTAGGATCCTTTCTCTGTTCCATGTCGGCCAGGCTGGGCGCAATAAGCCACGTGTTCCGATACGAAGTGCTGATTACCCGACTCGAACCATAACTCCGCAGGTAAAACCTGCGCTGGACGATACATCAACACCATGGGATTCGTCAAAGTGGTAAAAAACAAGGCTTACTTCAAGAGGTTTCAAGTGAAGTTCAAGCGAAGGCGAGAGGGTAAGACCGACTACTACGCCCGCCGAAGGCTCGTCGTTCAAGACAAAAACAAGTACAACACTCCGAAGTACCGCATGATCGTTCGCATCACCAACCGCGACATCATCTGCCAGGTCGCATACGCCAGGATCGAGGGAGACGTGATCGTGTGCGCAGCGTACGCTCACGAGCTTCCTCGCTACGGTGTCAAGCTAGGCCTAACCAACTATGCGGCCGCCTACTGTACCGGTTTGCTGCTCGCCCGTCGCATGCTGCAGAAGTTCAAGCTCGACGAGATCTACAAGGGCCAGGAGGAGGCCAACGGCGAGGACTACTGCGTGGAGAGCATCGACGGCCAGCCGGGCGCCTTCCGCTGCTTCCTCGACGTCGGCCTGGCCCGTACCACCACGGGGGCCCGCATCTTCGGCGCCCTCAAGGGAGCCGTCGACGGAGGCATGGACATCCCGCACAGCAACAAGCGGTTCCCGGGCTACGACAACGAGTCCAAGGAGTTCAACGCGGAGGTGCACCGCAAGCACATTTACGGCCAGCACATTGCCGAGTACATGAAGGTGCTCTTGGACGACGACGAAGAGGCCTACAAGCGCCAGTTCTCCCGCTACAACAAGCTGGGCGTCACCGCGGACGAGATCGAGGAGATCTACAAAAAGGCCCACGCCGCGATCCGCAAGGACCCGGCGCACAGGGCCAAGGGGGTGCGTCCAGGCGTGGTCAAGAAGAGGTGGACCCGCATGAAGATGACCCTGTCCGAGCGCCGCAACAGGATCGCCCAGAAGAAGGCTTCGTACATCAAGAAGCTGGAGGCTGGGGCCGACTAGACCGGCGAGAACGGCGAATAAAAGCTGCCATGTTCACTGGGACCTCGTTTTCTGGAAGCCGCTGGGTGAGCGGCTCGCTTGTTTAACGAGGGCGCTTTGCAACGCGTAGCCTTTTCTGGATGGCCTGTACTTGCTCACTGCTCAGCCAGCCATATGGAAGTGCATAGCTAGGCTTATGCTTGCTCTGGAGCACATGATGCATTGGTTGAGGGCAAAACACCAGTTGGGGCAACTTGCTGTTCATGCCCCTCTATCATTTCTTCGCATGACCTGCCACAGTCGTAGCACATGGCCGAATAATTAGTCAGTTCCTAGTTCTTTATGGGTGTGTTCATACACCTGCAAAATCATTCCAGTAGTGCAGGAACATCTCTGGCTCAAAGCCCATAAGTGGTTTGTGTTTGACATGCAATATCGTGTTATATCACCTTTGGCTGAGCCATTCAGGACCCCTGCAGCCACTCCTGGCAATGCATCTAAAATTTGCAGTAGAGCAGCTCGAAATAGGTGGCTCATGCTTGGCATGAAACTTCGTTTCAACCAAGTTTATGCATCATTTTATTCTTGAAAAGCTATTTCAGCCCCTTTTGGGCTGTACTTAATCTCTGAAAAATCATTGCAGCCTGGTTGGAGTACAACTTCATTTCTAAAAACTTGCTTGTCCAGTTCCAGCATTATTTTTTCCCGAAAAAGGGGCCAGTGGGTTGAAGGGGAATTTCGCTGCAGCTCCGAGCATGTGAAGCATAAGCTTGCTCTGCAGAGCCCAGGGATCCTGGATTCAGTCCCCACTCCCGCCCATTTCCATCTGGATGAGTATCGTACCAGCATGTGGTCGTGGGTCATTCTTGGATGATGCAGGTTACCCCAGGCCAGCAGTCTCTGCACTGGCTACATTTCTTGCAGTGTAGACCAGGGTCCCTGCTCTGCTAAAGTGGAATGAGGGGCTTCCCCTGAACTCTTAACCGGTCAATTAGAACACCATTGGTGCTTTAACAAAAGTTTACCGAGCAAAAAAAAGTAATTTCAAGTGGACCACACGGGCTGAATTTTCTCGAGGCTTGGAATGAAAGATTTGTCACAGACTGAAATATATAATATAGAAGTGACACGTTTCTAAAATCAAACCTACGAGATGATGCGAAAAGCTGCTCTGCAGCTCCCACCTGATCCATATCGGAAGCTTTGAAGTGTGTGGAGCCCTTGACAACTTTTGTAGAAGTTGCAGACCGCTTTTGAAAAGCCTCAGTTATCAGTCGCCCAAGCAACCAGTTATCACTTCTACAAACAACGGTAAGAACTGCGAGGTTATTTGTAGCACTTCTCTTTTTGTTGTAAAAGTATATTTTTTTTAAATGAGCCATAAAATTGTCTTCTGGTTTCCCAGAATAGTGTGCTCTTCATATTCATAAAGCACCTTTTGAAGCTTTTCCCAAAAAGGGAGTACTGAGGCAGCTCAAATAGTTTCCCTGCCTAACTACTGGCTCGTCTTTCAAAAAGAGGTCGGAACTAGAAAGCCATCTTTCTAGAAAAGCAGGATAACCTCTAGGCGATGGACGTTCCACCGAGTCAACCCGGCAGCCAGTGAACATTTAGACGCAAGTTACACGGCCACAATACAGTGGCTAGGACGATGCCTAGAGGACAACGTCTGGTACGACCTCGGGACTTCTAGGACGACCTTGAGGGCGCAGTCTTAAGAAGACGTCCAGGACGACTTCTAGGACGACCTCAAGGACGACTTCTAAGACGACCTTGAGGACGTCTAGGACGTCCTCTTGGGCGAGATCTTAGACGACTTCTAGGACGTCCTCTTGGGCGAGATCTTGGACGACTTCTAGGACGACCTTGAGGACGATGCCTAGGACGACCTCGAGGAAGACGCCTAGAGATGATAACAAGGGATCAGGACCTCACTATCTAATAATGCCAAGAAAGGCTGACTCACACTGATTGCCACCTCTTTTTATTTATTCACACTTGCCACGACCAATGTGGAGTTTTCCGTCAACATCCGCAGATGCATTTTTCTCCAGATCCTAGCGCATAACAGCTTCGCTGTAAAACGAATAATATCTGCCGATACATGCACTAAATCTGCAAAAACGTAGCTGTATCGAATTATGTCTGCAGCTGCGTTGGGCATTGGTGCTCTTGACATTGGCAATACTAACTGTCCCACACAAATCTTGCAAAAGAAGTGTTGCTTCAATGAAGGTCAATACTTTGATATAACTAAACGCCTGGACGTAGTCGCTGGGAAGCAAGGAAGCTCCAGCTGCCCTGCCCCTCTCTCATGAAAAGGTTTGTAGCTTTGTTATAAAAACACAATGCCTCCTCCCTCAAAGAACAAATAGTTGGCTCCAAACTGGAAACCAGAAGACTGGCTTCTGCTATGACCCAAAAATGCAAGGATCTTTTTTTTTTTTTTTTTTTTTTTTTCTATGCAAAATGTAAAAGAACGGTGACAACACGTCACAAAATTGTTCGCTGAGGAAAATAAACCAAGTCATACCAAAACAGGAAGACTGCAAGAATGTTATGTCGGAGAAGCCCAAAGTCGCTTGGGTTCGTTTACTCCCTGCAACCATTTTCCTTAGTCGCATAACTCATAGTATATGGATTCTAACTTCTATTACATCTATTAATGAATGTGCACCTCAGGGGCCCTATGCTACACAACGGGACCAAGGGACCAAGACAACGCCATCTGCTGCGATCAGTAGCGGCGTGGCGCTGACCAATAGCAGCGGACGACGACGTCCAGATCCCTTGGTTCCGCTCGGTACCGCCATGTAGCATAGGGCCCCAAGCGGCTTCACAATCTTAAAGTAGAGAGTTCTGCGTCGTCGTTGAAAGTGGCTCGTGACCCAGAGCGGGACGTTCTAAGTTCTCAAATGGCAGCTTTTGAGTGGAAAAAAGCTGGATTTTGAGCTTCTTCATTTCTTCATTGTTGGATTGATGTGCGCGTTTTCATAAAAATCTCGGCACACATAAATGCCCCGCTAGAGAAACTTTAAGGTGATAATCACACTACTGGTCGTTTCACGTTGAAGTGGACCTGGCCAGACGCTAGGACCCGTCGGAGCCAATCATATTGCCGAGGGTGCGTCGCGTGACGATGCATTACGCGACGCTGCGCCCAACCGGAAAGTTGCTTGGCTCGCTCTCGGCTGGCTCTGACCGCTCCTAGTGTCCGCTGCCATTCATGTCTGCCTGGCATTGCACACTCCGCTTACCACCGATGGGAGGTTATTGCAAAACCTAAGAAGTTGCTGTTTGTCATTTGGACTTACCTGAAAATATTGCCAGATGGGTGTTTCCACGTCAGATGTCTGTCCGGGTCATATTTTGATATTTCCGTAATAAATATATGGGAAAGCCACGTTCTTCGGAGGAACATTCAGCTATATGGGAATGCCGTATCTAAATTTTTCATAGATATATAAAATTGTGAAGCTTAAGGCTTCAACATTGCTGAGATTTCACTATGGTAATTTGCACAGCCGCCAATGTCACACCAAAGCAGGCGCAAAGTTAAATTAATTTTCATTTATTTTATGGACAATTTACAACATGCGCACTGAATATTAAAAATTGCAATTATATATTTTTATGTAAAAAAAATTATGACTCATAAAAAAAAAACAATGTCCAAGCCTCGAGCTTCTCAATTTTATATCGCTGAGAAACATTTAGATATGGCATTCACATATAGCTGAATGTTCCTCCCAAGAACGCGACTTTCAAATATTACAGAAATATAAAGAATATGACCCAGACAGTCATCTTCACGATCCGACATGGAAACGCCAGTTGCGGGACGGGCGAGGCTTCGTTTGAATGCAAGAAGGCCGCAGATGCAGGAATCACACAGACGACCAGAGGAATTCTTGGCTAACTTTTATATTTGTCTCGACATTCCAAGAAGAAAGTAGGAACAGAACAACAGACACAGACTTCGCAGGAACAAAGACTACGAGGGATATGTATAAACAATAAATAATGGAGACTTTGGAAGGCATCCCTCCTCAGAGAGGGCATTGCTCTTGCATTGCATGGGTCCCAGCATCTGGAACAGAAAAGACGGGACCAGCCGTTAAACTCTGTGCGCTTCAAGGGACCACAAAGTGATACTGGGTTCGAGTAATAACCGCATATAGCCCAGTAGGGCGATAGACCGCTAGTACACGGGGGTTCTTGCTGCAAAATCGAGAAAGTATGAAACCCATTGCTGCGGCACATCTATGGAAACAACCACACCAGCCTAGTTCAGCTCGCAAATTGGTACACGGGCATCGCGTCACCACTTGGTTGCTCGGTAACAATCCATTCGTTGGTGAACACTCGGGTTCACGTTTCTGCATCATACATTCTTACAATGTCACGCAGATACTAAATATCTTCACGCGAGTTATTTTCTGAGGAGCGCTCGACTAGTGGCTTACGTTCCAACTAGCGCCGACGTCACGACTGGTCCGTGTGGAGCATCAACGCAAACTGCCGTTATCAGTTGCCATATTGAGGATCCTCTCCCCCTTTCAATTGGACTATGGTGAAACAAAAGCAGATGATAATGGCAGTTTGCGTCGATGGGATTCCCCGTCTGCTCCACAAAGACAACTCCAGAAGTAGCGCTAGTTCGAACGGAAGCTATTGGTCGCGCGCTCCTCGGGAAAAAATGCCCACTCGCACGGAGCTGTTTAGTGTCTACCTGACCCTACAATGGCCAGTACGTACCGACGAATATTTGCAGCACGAGCCGGCAAAAGAACGCTCAACAGCCCGTTCTGGCCTCGAGCCGGAAGATAGTGCTCTACGAGCGTTTCTCACGCAAAACCCGTCGCAACATACGTCACTGCTCGTTTAAGAGGGGGGACACTGGCTAGAAATTTAACTTATGAAATACTCAACTGATCGGATTGAAATTCGCAGGGGAGATTAAACATTATATTGCCACGCGCGCCGCCGAGTGAGCGCATGCGTGGCCGAATGGTTACGGCGCTTGACTGTCGCATGGAAGATCTAGGTTCGATTCCAGTCGGCGGAATGTTTTTTTATTTATTCTTTCAACTTGCCGTTCTCGTAAGTTCGAGAACATTATCGCCTGATCGAGCTCCGAATGTTCTATGCGTTGAAAATTCTATGCGAATGTTCCAGAAGCCCACACGTGCACATAAGGGGCTCCGCGTGGCGAGTTGGGGTCAGTCTCGCCCCAGCGTCGAATCCTGCTGTTACGCAGACTTCGACACCCGCGACGCTCTGCTGTTATCTTCAGTCCCCTTTTTGCTACCCTTGGGCGGAGAATGAGCGTTCGGCAATGCCTAGTTTATTTTTGTGGTAATAAAAACCCTGTACATTCGATTTCACAAATACCGCAAAATCTTCGCTCTAATAAAATGCAGAGCCAGAGTCGCCTCACAGATGACGCCCGCGTGATCTCCGCTGAAGGCAAGAATGGCAACAAAATGGCAGCCAGAGATGTTACGAACTAGGTCGTAAGCAAATGCAAGTGTGTGAATGGGCCCGAGAGGTTGTGCGACGCAAGGGGCTGCCTCACCAGGACACGACGACCGGGTTCTCGGGCGAGTTGGTCACGCGCTGCTTCTTGCGCTTCTCCGGGTCCGAGTCGTAGCCCTGGACCGGGTCCGCCTGGGCGTCCCTCAGCTCCGCAAAGTGCTCCGGGAGGTACTTGTTCACCAGGGCGTCAAAGTCCCGCTCGAGAGTCCTTGCCTGCTGGCATACCTGAGAATCCTTCTGCTCCAGAGAGGGGAGAACCGCCACCAATGCAACCGCACGTCTCTCCCAAACGTCTGCCCAGCTCTTGCCGCCCTTTTTTGTAACGCAACAAACTCGGAATCTATCAGTTATATTTCCAAATTTGTTGCTTTCCATTCTTTCACTGTAGGAGTGAATTACGTCTGAAAATGCCCTGAGCAACAATTTCCCCGAGACGGCGCATAGATTTTATTTCGAAAATTCCGCAAAACCCGTCGTCTATTTCGGGACCAGAAGTGTTTGAGGGCTGATTCCACACTGGCACCGCCAGGTTCAAACTTGCGCGAAAAAGGGCGAATAGGGTGCTTGCGCGAGACTACCATGCAACGCCGCTTCCAGTTCAAAACTTTGCCGGCTTTCGCCCAGAGTCCCGTTACGTGCGGAGGCATTGCTTTCCAGATCGCTCGAGTTCCTTTGCGTTGTGCAACGGGAACAATGGAGGAAAGTGTCAACGGTATGCTTGCAGACGACTTATTGACGTCGGATTTCGTGGTTTTCGAACGCGGCGCGATGGAAGCGACGCCAATTGTTGGGTCTTATTTGTCGACCTGTCACGCCGATCAACCGTCCCAGAGGCCTTGGCACCAAAGCGTGCGGAAAGTTCATTGTTGCGATCCAGTACAGAAAGAGCCCAGCAAACGACAAAGCTAAGAAACCCACTTAGATCCAGAGTTGCAGTCCCCACCAAAACACACTCGACATGCGAAACATAGGGCTCCATGTCTTAGTGTAGAGCGAGTCTTCGGTATACACGAACTGAACACTGTGGCGTCACGACGCGGTGGTGGCACGTCAATCGCACTTCCGGTCTGGGGCTGTGGGCAGAAGTCCCCATGCCAGACGAGTATTCCTACTTTGTTTTGAAAGGAACCAGACAAAAATTTGCCTTCTCGTCAAAACGCCGCGACTAGGGCCGTACCAAAATTGTCGAGAAAGGTTTGAAGGTCAGTTTTCACATGCTCGGTTCGTCCAAGAATCTGGATATGTGCCGTGAAAAGGAAAAAGCAGACGCTGTCGGACAACGATTGCTTGGACGGAAAGCACTTTGGGTTGAATTCACGGATACTTGTGGTCATCAGATTTATTTGTTTTCTTCCAACATGAACGCCAGAAAACCGTCAAGTTGTGTGGACCACCTGCGGACTACGTTCAGTGCGTCTTCAAGTTCAAACGGCCGCCTGATCGTTCGAATTGTCGTCTGCTCTCTTAGACGACGCCGGCCCGTAGAGCAAATGTTGGCCCGGTACTTGCGATAAGAAGTAAGTGCAGGCATCAAAAGACTTAAATTTGAAGGTTGGTAAGCAGGCTCGATGTAAACAGCACATACAAGGAGATGTTGATCATTGTTACCAGTGACCATCACCGACTTGCTATGCCTAATTCACTTGGTCCAACTCTGCTTGCGATTTTGAGTATCGGCGTCGACCATCTCAGCTATGGTTCACGCTTTCGCAGCCCGAGCGGCGTCGTGAATGAAAATTGCGAGCGAGATCTCATCATGCGAATCAGGTTTTAGTGTACTATCGGGGAAAAATGAAATGCGAACAGAGGAGCGCGTGGCTCGCGGTACAGGCTGCGCCGCCTGGAAGTGAGCCTAGGAGCGAGGGTGCGTGGCCTACCTCGATGTGTTCACGCCTCTCGCTCTGCGCTCCCCAAGCCTCAGCAGTGCGCCTCTTCGTGCGCTGAAATCTATCACCACTATCTTTGCTGGCTCAGCGCGTGCGGTGCAAAGAAGCTCGCCGCACTCACCGAGCAGGCAAACATAGCGGTGACAGCTTCCAGCGCACTGAGAGGCGCACTGCCGAAGCTGGGGGAACGCCTGTCAAGGGGCGTGAACACATCTAAGTAGGCCACGCACCCTCGCCCCTAGGTTCACTTCCAGGCGGCGCAGCCTGTACTGCGAGCCACGCGCTCCTCTGTTCGCATTTCATTTTTCCCCGATAGTACATACTGCGGCGTCCACGCAAAATGAATCGCCACATGACACATTATTGATGCGAAGTTTTGTGGTGTAAACAAGTCAGACATCGCCAGGAAGACGTAGAATCAACAATTCGAACGCGGAAAAGGGCAGGGGGACTCACACCGACGCCGACAACATCGCATTTCAATGGTTTGTTTATGGGCGACGGCGAGCTTCTTGCCCACACCCCCATTGCGCATGCGCGGCGCCGGTGGCGTCCGCTAGGGGCGCTCCGGTTTGTTTGTAAACATGAGTTGGTGTATAAGGTCGCTTTCAAGGAATACAGTGATTGGCTGCTTCTGCACCTCTCAAAAAGGCAGATCGGAATGTAGACAGATTAAAACATCAACCCACCTGTTTAAAAAAAAAAAAAAAAAATAGGCAGCACTGGCTGAGAGTATCAACGAATGCAAGACCGTTAGCTGGTATCGAGGTAAGTGGGAAAGCAAGGTGCCCATTCTTTCGACTCCTTTTATCCAACCGAGGTCCAGTGGTGCCTGCGAGATCGCAGACCCACAACGACCGCCAGAAACGTGACTTCAGGAGCACGACTCATTCTTTGACTGGCAGGGTTTCAAGAAGTCGACAGACATTACGAGTTTCAACTAATACGGTGACTATGACACATCTTTCAGTAGGTATAGTAACTATGTGGTAAAGTATGAATATATAATAACAATGGTCTTTATTTAGCATTTGGAGCGACTAGTATCAAGAAAGAACAAACCGACTTGCCCTTGTACATTTTTAAGATGATCTGAACCACAAATCGAAGTTTAGACGGAGAGTTTAGAAATGAACTGTAGAGGAGATATTCTATGAATTTTTTTTCCTTTCTTAACCTAATGATGTGGGTGGGTCAAAAGCTTTAAATATTATTCTGATGATTGCCCATACTTTATGAGTATCTCCCGTAAGCCATTTGTTGAATGGATCTTGCCAGGCAGACGTTGAATCCCTCATTACTAAAGTCTTCATTGTGGAAGTTTGTCTGATAAAGATATTGAAGAATTAGCGCAGGAAACCTGTTTGCTCTCTCAGTCAAAGTTTCTGTACATCCAAATGCGTCTCCTAAGCAGACATTTCTCAGGGCCTCGCTAGGCAGCCTCACGCTATATCGGCCTTGTGACAAAATATTTCGACCCAGATGAACGAATTAGCGTGAGACCTCACAGAGTCTCATTTACTACGCCTGGTTTCATTTGCTTGGCTGGAGACTCGAACAAGGGCCGACTGGTATATCTAGGAGAAATATTGCAAAATCGTCTTAGCATCAACCGCTTCTGGCGATTCTTCAAGCTACACAGGTAGCATGCGATACAGTCTTGAATCAAAACGACCCCAGGTTGCCAGCGTGCAACAGCATTAGAAAAAAAACTCCCGAGGGCAAAACCTTTGCCTCTTATAGGAACGTAACTGAGGAAGAGGGTTTTACGAATCACACTGGGTCCAGACGTCCAAAAGCCCCACTGGCGTGCCGCCTGCTACCTTCTTTTCAGGAAGCATGCCAGCACAGAGTTGGCAGGCAGCAGACTGGAGCGGTGATGACGAGGAAACCTCGCCAGGTAAACACCATTGGCAACGTGCACAGTCTGTCGAAACATTGTCCGCAAGGGCAGAAGAAAATAGATGGTGATGATGTTCATGCTGAAGTGTGAAACTGTGCTGGGGCAAATGATGGCCATGACAGGTGCTATAATGAGGACCATGACATTGAATCATTCTCTTTTCAAGGATGCACCAGGATGATCAGAAAAAGCAGACGTGAAAAACAGCAAACCCGCCCCATTCACCGCACCAATGCAGCGTGAGAGTGACACAGACCACCAGAAACATTCACCAAACAGACCAAAAGACCCAAGGAGAGCGGACGGCAAAGAAGCAAGCCAAGAGAGAGAGAGAATGTGCAAGTCTGGAGCCACCATTCAGAAAAGCCCAGAAAATTCGGACACCAAACCCAGAAGCACGTTAGAGATGCCAGAGCGCCTGCCCTCCGCCCCTCCCACCCCCCACTAAGGCCGCGGGGCCTTTCTCACCCGACCAGAGTTAACGAAGGTGCTCTCACCCCAGACTTGACCTTTGGAAAGAGGAGAGAAATAAATAATACACGTTGGAGAAACCCAAAGGCTCTCTCACTGCAACACAAAACACCAAATAGAGCGAGAAAAGGAAAACACTAGCGGGAATACAAAGTTTGCTTCAACCACGCAAAACCATTGCACCCTGGCAACCGCCCAAATATCCACTATATATTTCGGGTGCATCCCAAAAGTTCTCGGCCTGACCCAGAGGAAGGCGACAGAGGCGCATGAACTTGCGTTATTTTTCTATATGGTCCCATTTGAGGTCCACACACTTTGCCCAACGATGCTCCAGTATCTAGATCCCCTCGAAAAACAAGTGGGAAGTTTTGTCCTTCAAAAAGCGGGTCACAGCATCAATGACTAACAGCAGAAAGCTTCTTTTTCAGCTGGGGGAAGAGATACAAGTCTGATGAGGCGAGATCTGGCGAGTACGCTGGATGGTAGACCAGAGAAAAGCTGCAGGAGTGGATGGCAGGCCTCGCCGCAGGAGTGCGGTAGTGGGGCACATTGTCCCGATGGAACAGCAACCCCCTTCCAGAGCATACCGCGACGTTTGGCCTCGATGGCATCCAGCGAACAATGAATAAGGGCTGCATAGTAGTTCTCGGTCATTCTTTGCCCTTTGTGAAGAAAATCGCTGAGCAGCACGCCTTTCGAATCCCAAAAAAAACAGTGGCTATCACCTTGTCCACTGATAGAACAGAACAAGCCTTCTTCGGCGGCGGAGAGCAGAGGCAGATCCTGACATTTTGTTTAAAGGAGTTGAAGATGATGACGCAAGCTCCGGGCATTTTTGGGTGGCGTCCGCAAGAGACGAAAGGCACCGACATGTGTGTATTCCGGCCCCCTGTTGACTCACAAAGCTTGATGTGATGCGCTTTCCCACAAACTTTTTTTTTTTTTCCTTGCTTCTAAAATACAAAAGGTATTGTTCGGGTGGGGGATCCACCCCTGGTAGAATGGAAGGGTGTTTCCACCGTTTAGACTGGGCTTTGCTGTCGGGTTGAAAGTGGTGGACCCAGGTTTCGTCCACAGAAGCCTGTGGGATCTGGCCCCAGCAGCTCGAGACTGCCCCTCGATGTGGTGTAGCGGGCGCGTTTTTATCTCACGTGAGAGCTATCTTGGAACTGATCTGGCGGAGATCTCGTGAAAGACGTTGGGTCAACATGCACTCCAACTGTGGTTTTGAAGACACCCGTGACTTGTGCGATGGTAAAGATTTTTACTCGGCGACCTGCCACTACCTCGTCGTGCGGACAGTCCGTTTTCTCGCGCGATCACTTCCACGGGGCTGCCGAGGCGAGGGTCGCCTTCGAGGCTCTTCCATCCTCGATTGAATTTGGCGGCCCACTTTTTCATTGTGCTGTAGATGGGGCACCCTGTGCCTACGTCAGCACCTGGTCCTTGTGGACGCCTGCCTGGGATAGGCCTTTACGAGAAATATATTCAATCCCCGAACGTGCCTTCACTTTCTTCGTTTTAGCTCGACTGTGCGGACTGCCACCTGGTGGTGGCTGCTACCGGAAAACTGTATTGTGCGCACACATCTGTCGCGAATCTTAATAAGTACCCATGCGCTATAATAAAAATTTGTATCTGTGCTCGCACTCCTTCCGTGTCAGGCCGAGAACTTTTGGGACGCGTGGTGTACGCTGTCTCAGCCCAATCCAAGTTGGCACTGCTGTTTTGCGGTAGTTCACAAAACTATGATTTTCCGAGAAAAATGTTTTTCCAGAAAGCCACACACGTAAAGAAAGACTTTAAGACCAGTGTGCCTGAAACTTTCCAAGATGCGCACGTGACATTTGTCAGCAACTCATGTTTTCGTGCACTGGGATTGGGACTGTGATTTTAAATTTAGTTCCATTCGAACGGCTACTTTGTATGCATATTTTTGGTCTCCGATTTGTGAAATATCTGAATTCGAGAGCCAATATCATTTCAGACTGTGCATTGTTTTTTTCTTTTTTAAATTATTTATGTGCCACCAGACAGTGACCATTAGGTTGTTTGGTGGCTGGATTAGGGCATGAAACAAGTAAAAGATTCTTATCATCACCACAATGACGAGGTCCTTTAAAAGCCTCCCACGCCTCCTGCATCTGTATCACTCTTCAGTGTTGCTGAGGTTGAACTTCCGTTGCGTGGAATTTCCCAAATGCCACGCATTGTGATGAGCAAGATGTGCAAAGATGTTGTATTTCTACAGCTTTTTACAGTTAACTACAACGACAATTCCTTTTTATAATGTTAAAATCTCACTTTAATTTAAAATTGAGGTTTAGTAAAATGTGGGAAGAGCATTATCTGCTGTTGTTTGCACAGAAGCATGCATGACGTTGACCTCTGCTGTTCATATTTCATGCCTGGTGTCCAATCCAAGCTCTTATATACATATCCGGAAGTTCAGAACTGTCACCGATTAATGGCTATAAAAGTATTATAATCGGTGTTTTTGCGCACAATCCTTAACAATTAACTTTTTCTTCCGCATTCAATACACGTTTTGCAAACTCTTTCGGTACAGGAATTTGAACACATTTTCTTGGCATTTCGATCAATGTTTTGTTTTCCTCTTCCTGTCCGAGTTTCCTTTTGCACTAATGTGTATTGTTGATGTCCGCATACATTACTAGTATGGCCTGTTTTCCCTTTGTGGGCACCAAAATTATAAAAAAGTACTGCATATCCTTCTACCGTTAATGTTTGACTTTCTCATCTTCATCTGGGCATTAATTAAGTTTTATGCTCTAACAAGGGGTACCATTATTCAATCCCCTTTTTCTAACTATTCCGAGCTTGATACAAAAAAATTAATGAGTGCATTAAAAATAATTACGAAAGAACAGAGCTGGACTGATTGAGGGTAGCAGAGAGATTTTGCAATTTTCCAGGCGATTTTCCAGGAACTACTGACGCGGCATGCAAGGCATGGCACGCACGACTGCAGTAGTCTCTGCTGCAGTCAAAGTTCGGGAACTTCTAGCATCAAAAGCCAACGCGAAAACTCAATCTTCTGCATGCCTGAAGCTCCTTTGAGTTTGCTCCTTTTCCAGCTATGGCAGAGAATCCAAGCAGGGAGGATGGACCGTCCCACTCTTAAAAGCGAGGGAGTGTCTCCAAACTTAAGCATTGTGCAAAACTCGACTCACATGATTGAAGGTGTAGCAATTCTTGAAGATGAGCTTGATATCTGCCAAATATTCGGGCACATCTTCGTAGTGGTTGAAGTGCGAGGGAGAGAGCTTCTGCTTTATCGTTGTCAGATCCATGGGCTTGGTGATCACCTTGTAGTAGTTGGGAACCTGCAACGTCGCCAGGGTTGTCACAAAACCAGCGCCCTCGCGCCACGTCACCGGGAACTGAACCGTCGGATCTTGCACTTACCGTCCGGCTTACAGGAATGTGAAACGGAATGCTTAGTTCGTGACAAAACAGGTGTAGCAGGATCCTCTCGCATATCTGCAAGAGAGCCAAAGACGCCATGAGCCACGAGGAACCAACTGCTAGATTAGACCGTGTTCAAAGACGGGGAAGGAAGCGCCAGCACTGACCAGGAGCTCTCTTCCACTGAGCCCAACGGGAGTTTTTCGCTTGGAACCCGCTGACTCCCGAGGGATGTTGCACTTGAGGATATCCAGGCACAGTAAGCAAGTCCAGTCTTCGCTGCAAACAGACACAATTCTCTCAGGCTCCTTTCCCGCTGCGCTACAACCTGCCTGCCAACAGCTACAGAAAGATCCTAAATATGAGCTCCAGGCCAGACATCACTGAATCAACCTATTTTCTTTTTTCATGTTGTGAGAAATGGGGTAAACAGCGCATCCTGACAGTGGTTATGTCCCCTATAAAACATACACAATTGTGCCACAACAAAAAAACAAACAATTGTAGCATAAAGTAGAACCTCTCTGTTGCAAAGGCTGATCAAAGTAGAGATATGGATATAGTGAAGCAAAGTTAAATTATGCTTGTACTACCGTTACAGGCATTTGAATGACTGATATATAGCGAAGATTCTAATGTAGAGAATATTTTCATGAAAACAATTTACCAAACCACAAAATCTGCTTCTCAGAGAAAAACTGCTCCGAGACATGTTTCAAGATTATATTTTTCGAGTTTTCAGGGCGAGTGGTTGTATGCCTAATCAGGCTGACCATAGTTGGTTTTTCTTTCGAACTCTTCTGTTTGTTTTTTAATGTCTCAAAGCGTGATGCACCAAGGAGCTCACTGCCCTAGAGTGGCGCAAGGACAGGGTCTGAAAGGGCGCTCCGGGTGAGCCCCTGAAGTACCTGGGAGTGGCGCTGAGGGAAGGCACGTGGCACTGCAGGTGGTAGACACGAGGACACGACCCGCAGCAGAGCAGTTCCCCTCCGTCGTGGCACACCGAGCACCAGTCCTCGTTCGGGTCCGAGCTGCTGCAAGCCGACGGACAAATGAACGTCTTGGACGCACCGGGGAGGGACGCCCTGACACGGACGGTGCGTGGCACCACCCGGCATCGAGCAGCTCCCTGCCTCGCTGGAAAGCCTCAGTTTAACGATAGGAATAGTCTAAGGGAACTCTGACCTTAAAGCGCAATGCAACTGTGGGCCTTAGAGGCAAAACGAGTAACAACGAAATAATAAACTTTTGTGGAAATTATGTTTTTGTTTTTAAACACCCACCAACTATAGTCGGTAATAGGCAACGTTACTAAAACACTCAGTTGGGAAACTCCCATAGAGACAGCTTTGAAAAAGTGGCCCCGATCTGTCTCCGAGCACCGAGCTAATGACGAACAAGACGCCACCATTTCTCCCGCAGCGGCCACTCGAGGAACTGCACGTGACTTCTACTTTGGCTTTAAGAACAGATACAGCGGAAGAGGTTACAGGGGTGCCACCCCCGTCTCCCCGACGGACGCGCCGCATTCAACATCCGAAGTTAAAATGCACCTAGGTCTGGACGCGCTACCTGAACGGCTCGCTCAGGCATGGTTGTATAAAAACAATATTAATTGTTCCGCAAAACCTTGCGAACTAAAGATGATAAAAACATCACGTGCCCATCATTTGGTACTAAACTCCAATAAATTTTATACAAAAAGAGTCTTTTTCGTTTGTTTTTTACGCAAAAACAGGCTTTCAAAAAGCTCAAGGTGACCACAGTACAGACAAATGACAAAGAGTGCCGCTGTTGTCGCATTTAGCTCGGTCTGAGTGGACGCCAGCGGCCCAGGTTTCGACGGCGAGTTTCCCAACTGAGTGTTTCAGTGACGTTGGTAATAGGTTAAGAGTTCCGGGGAAACTCGTCCTACCTCTTTCCAGTTTAATAGAGCAAACGCAGAAGAAGAGGCAACCTCCTCTCCTGCGTTAGCTCCGCTAAAGTGGGAAGAGGTGGGAAGAGCTACCCCCAAACTCAGATCAAATCAAAGCTTTATTTGACAAGAGGCCAGACAAGAAGCTCTCAAAAAAACAGCTCGACTGGGTCTGGTATTTCTTTACATTTACATTGACCGCATCTTTGACATACTCAAAAACACGTCACATTGTATAAAAAAAATAACGACAAAAACAGGTAATTCAAAATCACGTTAGACGAAGCTATGCACAGCACAAGCGGAGGTCTTCTTTATTTAATGCGTACATGTTTATGCTGTTTGTGATCCACTCGTTTAATAAGGATGGTACATTATAATGTACTTAGTGACTAAAAGTTATAGTTTGTGTGAGATTGAGGAAGCACATGTCTCTGTACAATGTGTGTTAACATTACTTTCATTTGTTGTAAATGCTCAAAGAATGTATTAAAAAATCTGCGAATGCCTCAGATGAGAAACAAATCGCGTGAATTAAACGGGATTTGTACACGCTTCTTACAGGAAGCATTCGAAATTTCGTAAACAAAGGTTCTGTGTGGTCCTTATATAAAACATCCGCAATATAGCGTAACCTTTTTTTCTGCAGCAGTAATATATTTTAAAGATTTGTTTTTGTCATTTAGGCCACACAAGATGACAATAAGATTGAAATAGAGCACGGTAAATTTGTACCTTAATGTGGGGGGTAAAACACTCTGGCAACGAGCGACAAGACGGACAGCTCGAGAAAGTTGACAAACTATAGATAGTTCACGTGAGATTCCCACATCGAGTGCTTCGAAAAAAATACAGCTAGTAGTTCAACTGTCAAAGTGCGAAGTTGGATTGTATGATATACCGCGACTGGTTTATTTGTAGCCTTAAATAAAATAGCTTCGGATTTTGTCCCCTTTACGTTGAGCCGATTTACCTCGGACCATGTGGAAAACTTTCTCAGAACAGAGTTTGCTTCACATATTACTATATTAGCATCATCAGCAGAGAGAAACAGGCTTAAGTTCTATCGTCTGCATAGATAATAAACTGCGCTTCATTATCAATGTTCACAATATCACTGATGTATAGACATTAAATGAAAGAGGTCCTAATATACTTCTCGTGGTACAGCTTGCTGTACATTTCCAAAAGAAGAGCAACAACCATCAATAACAACCCGCTGTTTCTTAAGTTGTAGATATGATTTCAATAAACCAATTGGCACACCAATTGCTTTACTGAACTATTAACTTGTCACTGTCTATACGCAAGTGTCAACGTCAAACTCAAACAGAAAATACCCATCGCCTGAATGTAATTATAAATATAGACAGAGACCTCACGCGTTTTTTTCGGTGCGATGCTTCGGAACATAGGAGTATTATTTTTACGGGGTAACCATAAATCTGGCATTGCCACATTTGTTCGAACAGGTCTAGCCAGTGATGTTATTGGTTGTTCTCTAACATTAATTCCTGGAATAGGATTAAAAATAATTACAAAGAAAAGATTATGAAATTTTAAAGATAGGTGGCTTCAATGTCACTAACTAAAGGCAGTCTATGGCATTGCAGCCATATGCATTTTGTTTGTCCTCATTAATAACACTTTAAAAGCCCCTAGAAACACTTTAAATATAATATTCGTCACATATTAAATGGTTCCGGACCTAACGCAGCTATTACACTAACACTCCAAACTGCAGTAAAATACAATTATTACAAGAAAAAAATGAGTCGGTTACAGCTCCCTGTAACGCCGAATTAGAGCACAGCTCTTGAGGAGGAGGATGAGGGAAGGGTACTGAGGGTCCCATGACCTTGGGGAGGTCAGGTGACCTCGCGGGGGGGGGGGGGGGGGGGGGGTCATGTGACCTCACGGTTACGCCGACGCCGCTCAAGCCGGAAACTGGCGCCTAAGAGCTGCGCTCTAAAAGAAGAAAAGCTTCAGGAAATGTTTGCAAAATCTGGTAATGTGAAACCAAAGTGCCAATCTTTGGTTGAGTGATATAAACCCGTTTTGATTCCCCTAAACATGCCCTAAATCCAATCCATATTCCTAATCCTGTCCCGAACCGAGTGGGGACAGGATTTTCTTTTTCCACCGAGAATCGTTGAAAACTGAAATAGGCTGCCTAAAGATGTATAGTTGATACGTTTTGAAAGCAGCGTTTAGAGTTCTTTAACTTGTATTTGATGTGACTCTCATATTCCAGTTGTTCCTCTAGATATGTATTTTTTTTCTTCAAATTCCAGCCAAGATTTCACGAATACTTCCTTGTACGCTAGATTTTATAATGAAGCTCCGTTTAATGGGTATTATATATCTGTCAGGGTTTTATTGTTCGTAAACCCAACTTTTTTGAAAAGAAATGCAAATGTGGAGGTACCTCTGCAGGCTGTGCGTCTCTACTATCTTCAGTCCCGCCCCGCGCCCTTCCGGGGGTGGGGCCCCGTTCTGCTGGGGGGGGGCCCTGGAGGCCCCCGCCGAGGAGGGCGGGGTGGGTCCCTTGCCCCCCCGGGGCATGAGGCTGAAGCTCTTGTCGCCGATCTTGAGGAGCTCCTCCAGAGTTGAGAGGTCCTCGAAGCAGTCCTGGACGGGGGGCCCCCCTCCGCCGCCAGAGGGCTCCGTCCGAGGAGAGCCGACCGCCTCAGCTATGGACGAGGGGCTGCAGCTGCTGTCTGCGGGCTGCTGCCCCCCCGGCTGCCCCGGCTGCTGCACACCACAGGACGCCCCCTCAGCCTTGCTACCCAGAAACCCCTCCGCTCCCTCGCCACCTAGTGCAATCTCTTATGAAGACGCTGGTCTCCCGTATAGTTCACGTTTCTTTTTAGGGGCAAAGCTCATTAGGGTCTAGCCTTGTCCGGTGTCCGTGCTCACATCGATTGCCATCCCATCTGTCTTCTTAGAAAAAGAAAAAATGCTCGCGCAGTCGACAGGATTCGAACCTGTGCGGGGAGACCCCAATGGATTTCGAGTCCATCGCCTTAACCGCTCGGCCACGACTGCGGGACGAGTAGGGGGCTCTGAGATGTGGTAGTAACTCAAGGGCTGGGGATGTCATGGATGAAACGTTGCATGTAGCCGCTCAACGTCTATACAGGAGGAGGCATTGGGTCAAATGCGTATATAATCGCGTTAAACGTTGCATGCACTGGCTCAACGTTTATAGAGAGGGCGCTGCGGTCAAATGCTCAACTGCGCATATAACCACGTTCCATACCACACATTCTCTTTCTGACATGGATGAAAACGAAATCAGCACCATGAGCACTACCTATGAACAAAATCAGCATCATCAGCACCACCGGAGCTTGGCCCCAATCAACATCATTCACCACGTGGAGATGCGGTAATTTTTTTAGCATCATTCTTTCTTGAACAACTTGCAACAATGTTACAAACAACCATTTTTCGCGATTGGATCCTGCAAATAAGGGAAAACCCTCGCTTTAGTAAAATGCAGTTCCAGGGTCACCTCGTGGGTGGCACCGGTTTGTTATCTCTTGTCGTAAGAAATTGCAACAACTCGGTCCTAAGCTAGTGCATCCACGGGCTTTTAAGGGCTTGGATGGGGACACCTACATATCACAAAACAAACTTTTCCCCCCAAAAAATCATTTAGCCCGTCGCGACACTCATTTTAAGTGAAGAGCAATCCAGAACATGTTTCTATTTTGGCACATTACCCCAAAATAAGTGTGCACCGTGATACCCAAACTGATTCTCGCAACGTAAGCATCGCGGTAACAAAATTTTTTCGGTGGAGGTTCATTTTATGACACGCATACTTCGGCATTGCAAAAAAATATTTTTTTTTCCTGTGTACTTTAAGGGCACTGCAACGAAATTCTAGCGGCCATTTTATCGTCTGAATGTCAACCATGGTCTATTCACACCACGGAGACACTAATATTTAGCTCGAAAAGACACCTGAACATTCTTTAAAACGAATAAAGCAAATGTCCTTGCGTCAGGCTCGACGTAAAAGTGGCGCCGTACCAAAAGAGACCTGGGTAAAAAAATGCGGTTTCCGAAATAACCTCGTTTGAAGATAAGTTACAAATCATTATTTTGATTACAGTTTAGTGCACTGTGTATCACTAATGCAGACTGCACAAAGTAGACAAGAAGAGCGAGCCTGTAACCTGAGCTTCGAAACAGCACGCGACTCGGCAGAGCCTCCCCTCGACTCACCTTCTCCTGCCTCGATTCCTTAGACCCGCCAGACTGAAGCATGTTGCCAATGGACTGGTTGGCAAAGTCATTCTGCAACAACAGACAAATGTTAGCGCCGACACATTCACTAAATCCCAGCACATCCAGAGCAGGAAAGCAAATGCCACAGAGCAGGTGTGGCGAGGCTGACGTCAGGATGCCCAAGCCGTTCCAGCCACAGAAGCGGTCGAAGCACGCCAGTGATTGGGCCAGCGCAACTAACCCCAAAGCTGCCTTTTGTGTGAATTTTGGGTGAAGGGTTAATCTTCTATAATTTTGTAAAGGGAGAATAGCGACGTCTGGGACACACAAAAGAGCCTCTTTGAGTGGGGAGTTCCTCCCTCCCCTGTCGGGACGACGACAGGTTCAAAGCATGCATACAGGGTGATTCAAGGAGAGGCCAGGCTTTTTAAATCGACCGCAAAATTTGGTTTCTTAACCTATCGCGCTACGACTTTGTGCAGCGTTGCCCACAGATGGTGCATTTTTTTGTTTGTAAAATTTGCAAAGAGCGAACTTCTGAGGAAAAAGTAAAGAAAGAAAAAGGCTTAGCTCCTATGGAAATGCAGCAACGCCACCGGTCTTCAAACAACACGGCGCCGTTTCGCACGGGAGACAAGAGATGTCGCTAGCGGTCGCGACGCCAACTGCCGCCAATGAACGAGCAGACGACGCCGAGAGCCGGCGTCTTTAACAGACAAGGAACTGCAGTTGCTTGTTGTTACCGCGCCTGTTTTTGTTTCTGCGACTGTTGCTGCCTGCGGAACGCGCGCCGCTTTGAGTTGAAAAGATTGTCTGCTATAGACGCCGGCTCTTGGCGCCGTATGCTCGTTCGTTGGCGGCGTCCGTTGCATTCTTGTTTTGCCTCGCCTATTTTGTCTCACATATTCCAGGTAACAGAATTCATGTGACTGAGAATGACAGGAAACAGAAAACATCTATACACGAGCAGAAATCGAAACCGAAACTTCGGCTCCATCCGGCATCATCGGCCTCGGGCCACCAAGAACATGGCTATCACGTGATACGAGATGTCACGTGAACCTCTACAAAACAAGAGGCGGGACAGGAACGGGCGTGTGCCAGGCGCAAGTGTTGTCTGCACCGCACTCTTTACCACATTTTGGTGTCGACGACATTCAGTGACGTCTCCACAAATGCGGAATAAGTCTGCGCACATAGTGTTAATAGTGTGGACGAAACTCCGAAAGACAATAATCACGAACGGTGAGATGACGACAGCGGTTGCGATGCTGGAGACAGGAGTAACGGCAGGACGACTCCCAAGAAGCATGCTGCGCATGTGTGTTACGCCAATGACGTAAACTCCGCTAAGCACCAAAAGGAAACTTTGCTGACGTCACCGGCTACGCTTGCCCGGAGAAGTCAAAACAACCAAAAAGGGGCAATGGTGATATCGTTTAGCTCAATGCTAGCTACGCCCACGCTGCAGCCTCGACTGCAGTGTTGGGTGCAGCTCAATTCGCCCGCTGGAGTAAGCCGATTTCGGCAACTTGGCACATTACAAAGTTTGCCGAACCGTTTGAGAAACATTTAGACAGAACTAAGTCGTAATATTTGACGTGTAGTCTTCCTAGGTGATACTAAAGAGGAGCACATCGTTTTTTCAAAAGCTAGAATGAAGTGGAGTTGCCGTAAAGCTGTCCGTAGCAGTAATCGGTAGCAAGACTGTGGATTTTTTAAGAGAAAGTGTTTGCGTCTTCAACCATGCGTTTTCAGGTCCTTTTGAAGTTATACGCGCTCCAGCCACCACACCCGGCGAGTTTGCTAAATGATGACAAACATACCAATCTCGCCACTTGTTCGATGCATGAATGACGCCGCCATAACTGAAATCCACAGAAGGCGGGCCAAACTGCACGCCCTGCACGCGAAGCTCCAGCGAGATTGTCGCACATACGGAAAGACTAAAGTTGCCTCAATGCATCGCAGCATCGGCGGCGTAGCCAATATAGTTGGTGAGGTTGGTCTATTACTGCGAGACCCTCCAAAAAATGGATCAGATTTCAAACAATCAAGCTCTAAAAATTTAAAATTACGTAACTGTGGCAGCGTAGGACTTTAACACGGGGCGCTTGACTTGCCGCGAGGTCGCAGCCTTCCAGGGTTGGATAAACATTATTATTTCACGGCAATAGCTGCTATAGGAACTTCTCAGCTGCATTCACAGCATTGGCGCTGCGTCAGGTAGAGAACTTGCCGCACGTGCGCTGCCCCACGACACTGGGCACAGTGCGCGCGCTTAGCTCTCGCAGCACTGTCTTCTAAGGGCGGCAAGGGACGCCGCTACACACACATTGGCAGGGGCTATCGGGTGTGAAGCAACCCAGAGCTGGTAACGGCAACTCAGCACGGTAACGGTCTCAATTTAGTCTCGGACAAGGACACCGACTCGTCCGCGCAGCGAGTTATCTTTCCAACATTCCTCAATGACCAGGAGGTTGTGCTGTGCACGGCGGAGTAAACAGATTGGATACGCGCGGAGGTGGGTGTTACTATGTGCAACGTGCAAACACAGCTGTCACTTCTTTGCACACAGTGCCGAAAAGCTGCGGATTTTTATTATCATAATTATGAATCGACGACGATTCCAAGTGATGGCCAAGTAAACCAGGTCCCTCACCAGGGAGCGAGAGGCCATCCCAGCGGCGGTTTCGGAGGGGCTGGCCCTGGTGCCGTTGAGGGGCGCCTGGACGGCCCGGGCCACCGAGTCCCCGCTGCACGAGGGCAGCTGCTGCTCTCCCGGCGACTTGGGCTCCTCCTTGATGCGCACCACGGACACCGACGGGGACGAGGTGCGCGCAGACGCCACCGACTGCGCCACCACCGGCGTGATGGTGATCGAGTTGCTCCTGCGGAAAGGGCCCACCGTCATGCGACATACACACACTCCGTTAACCCCCAGGCTGACTGTGTAGCGGAAGCTGCGTGCTTCTGGGACCAGCCATATGTCCATCTTTCGCCACGCACCCATACCTACACACAGAAAGTGGTTTATTAGCCCGGTGAGCGTGCAGCTCCCACCGCACTGTCAGCTTAGGATCGAACCGAGTAGACAACGTTTTTCGAAAGAGAGGCGCATCCTTTGGCTTCGAGCGTGCCATGGTGCCACGTCTGGATGGCAAGACTGCCTCTAGCCAAGAGAAGCCTTAGTGTAGCCAATCGCAAAACAACGTTCCTTACAATGTAAACCTTTGGCCACGTCACGCGCTCGTGTTACGAAAGGCCACACGTTACCACGAGCCAGCTTGCTACATGGTTGAGAGTCGACTCGCATGCATGAACTCTCAATGGAGCAACCTACAAGATACTTTTATAAACAAAAACGCCTGCGCCCCTTCCTGGCTACTTCTGCCCCTTTTCAGCCTTTTGGCCCAAGTATGTTCCTCAGCTCCCGTGCCGAGCAGAGAATTCTATCCAGCAGTCCTACTCACCTTTTCCAAAAGAAACCCGAGGGAAAACAAGACTCACCAACTGCCACGAAAAAAATCGCCAGAAAAGAGAGCTCTCTCGTGGCCGGTACGCAGGAGTGGCGGACGCACCTTTCGAGCACGCTGGCCTCCGGCAGCCTGGGCGACCCTCCCTGGATCAGGTGGGAGGGGATCCTGGTTGACGGGGGTGTTCCGCTGGAGGAAGAGCTCGACGTGGCGGACATCCGGCGCTGCTGCTGCAGGGCGGCCGCGCGGGCGGCGCCGGTCGAGTCGAGCATGATCACCTGCGTCTTGGGCTGCGGGATGATCTGCACCCCCGTGGCCAGCGGTGGAGGGCAGGGCAGGGGCCCGTTCCCGGACGACCTGAAACCAGTCACCCTTGGTCGGTTCTTCGCCCGTCAAGCGCCAACCGTAATCACGGAGTAGGCCAGCTAAGCGATCGCGGAAAAAGAACGAGAGGAACGAGATGGTGAGCTGCAAAAGCTGGCAATCGTCGAACACATAGCTCAAACCGGGTTTCCAGGAACCCCACTCGACCGTCCTCAAGTGAAGTGTCTTCCCAGTTGAGGCACTGTTTCAGCAGACCAATCCACTGAACTGTGAGAAAAGCCCTTCCTCGCAGGTAGGTGCCTCACTGTTTACGAGGTATGCAGGCTGCTCAACCAGTTTATCGCCATATCAATTTAGTCAAGCCAGAGAGGGGTTCCTCGAGATCCAAAAGAGCCCCTGGACTAGGAATGCCTGTCTGTCTTCCTTCTCCTTGTCCTTCGTACATCCTTTTTCTTTACAGACAAGAACCGATCAGAACCAGATTAGGGTCGTCTGCAGGCTACGGCCGCAAAGAAACACGACTTGCGAAATTCTAAACATGCAAATTGTCCTTTGACAACAAGTCTCATGTCTATCTTTCTAAGAGATTTTGTTGCGTGTTATTCATTAGCCTCTCCAGCGGCGGTGCACGGATGAATAGCCGAGGACAAAATTAAACAAACATTCGTCTGCTTTACAATTTATTTTCTATTGAATAGAAAAGCTTGCTAGTTTCTAAATGCAAAATGAAATAGCATCATCGTTCATACATTTTGTTAAAATCGTTATTTATCGCAGTTATCCCACCGTTGCGAGCCTCTTCTACGACATTTCCAACGTTTTTGCACTCAGCACACCACCTGAGAGCAAGCTTGCAAACCAGTATGCTGACAAAGAGCAGGCCGGTATAGGACATAGAAAATGCACAGTCGGAACCTGTTCAGCTTCCCATTAAGTGCTCATCAACATTGGTGATAACAAGTCCTCAAAATTAAGTGTTTATGCCAATGAAAACTAATGATGAAAAAGCTGCCTCAGTGATTGCACCACTCTTATACAAGAGTATACAGTCTAAGCTCATTAAACAGACCTTGATTTTGACCAAGATTTCGGTCTGATTAAAGGGGGTATGTTGTATGCAGATATGAAATAGAGTCAATGGTATGTAGAGGAAAACCAACTGAACTTCACAAATCTGTATGTTATATCCAAATGTCTGTTGTAACCAGGTCTGTTGTAATGAGCCTAGACTGTATCACAGACAAAAAAGGAGCAGGACACGTTGTGTGAGAGCATATCACCGGAGGGCATGTATAGAGGGCATTCTCACACAGCATTTGTTGCGCAGCCCATGTCAAAGACAGAAAACTCACCTGGACTTGTCGGAGCTGATGGGTGAAATGGTGATGGACGAGTTAAGGGTGATGGGGACACTAGCGGTGACTTGCATCTGCTGAGGGACTTGATGATTCTGCTGATGATGCTGTTGCTGTTGTTGTTGCTGCTGCTGCTGCTGTTGTTGCTGCTGTTGCTGCTGCTGTTGCTGTTGCTGTTGCTGTTGCTGCTGCTGCTGCTGTTGCTGCTGCTGATGATGTTGCTGTTGTTGCTGCTGCTGATGTTGCTGCTGTTGCTGATGTTGATGATGCAGCTGCTGCTGCTGCTGTAGTTGTCTCTGCTGCTGATGCTCTTTCATTTGTTGGATGCGAGCCTGCTGTGCTGCCGCCATGGCCTGCTGAGATGGTCCCCCCTGAAAAACACGGTAGAACAACCAGTTAAGCTGCAATCGAGCCAATGATTTGAGGGCACACCCAACGGTACAGCCAATGTGATCAGAACTGCCACGGCCTAAAACTGGCGAAGAACCAATGAGTAAAATGGCATAGGGTGAAACTACATCTTCCAACACCACAACCAGTAAAAAGTGTAAAAACGCAAGTAAGCTGACATCTGACTTCCGAAATTTACCCGAAACTAGGAAAATAAAAAAAATTTTAAATTGAGAAGCACACATAATGTGTAAAAAAATTGGGATGCTGCATGTGCTTGTCTATATATACTTTTATCAGTCTCAAGTAAATTACGGAACTATAACCAGTGATTTCGGTTCTAGTTCCACCGGCAGTGAAGATGCATGAAGTCTACCATCGACAAATTAGAGAAGCTGTACTTCCAGAGCGCGTGCCCACAAATTACATTGGAACTAAACCGCCTCTTTATGCTTGCAGCATCGTCAGGCAAGGAACACGACATTAAAGGGAAACTCAAGTGCTTTTTGAGATCCTCGTTTTATGGTCATAACTCAATCTACAAGCTCTGCACATCCTAAAAGAATTCGAAAATACATTCATGAGCAGCCGATTTGCATATTAAAAACGAGATAGAAGATTGTGACACTTACTGTTGGCGCAGAACGACAGATGGTGATACCAAACCTTGCTGAGTATGGTCAAACGACGGAGGGTGCTTGTCAGCCACTCGCGAGAGATTGGATCCAACGTGGACAAGCAGGACGGATCGGCCGCTCGTTCACGCAAGAACCCATCGCTTGCGAGTGGCTGACAAGCGCTTTCTGTCGTTCAACCCTATTCAATAAAATTCGGTAGCGCCATCTGTCCTCCTACGCCAACAGTAAGTGTTGCAATCTTCTGTCCCTTTTTAAATATGCGAATCGGCCGCGTATGAATGTAATTTAGGGCTTTTTAGGATCCTTAAAGCTCGTAGATTGAGCTATGACAATGAAACAAGGATCTCGAAAAGCGCTTTGGTGCCCCTTTAAGATGATGTAACCCCTGCCAAGGTCGAGCTAAGTTACCTCCATGGATGCGGTCAATGTGGCTACAACCGAGGTAGCTTCGAAGTCGACCGCAACACTGACAACCGTGACAGACAGGACTAGCATGATATACCGGGCTCGCAGGGTCAACAACGCCGGCTTTACCGAGCAACCATTGCTTCGTGCCCCCGCACCCTCCGTCCCGGGTGAAAATCGCTCCATTTGCAGCTAGAACGTGAAACTGGTCCTAGCTAAAGCCCCTCATGATAAAATTTATGCTTTACATTTCTTGCAAGTACCGACACCGTTGTTGCACAAATGCGTAAGACGTGCCTCGAGCAAGTGCTGCACCGTCATTCACTTCCAAGGAATGCAGGAGCCCCGGGTTTTGCGTTGTGGTGCATTTCAAGCAAGACAAACACGAATGTCATGAGTCCTATCGGAAAATACCGGGGTAGCGCACCCACTCCACTTTCACTGGAAATTTGATTGATCTAGACACGGGCGCTTGTCCAATCCAATCAGGCGCTTAACGTACAATTTCAAGAATTCCCAAGTTTGGAACACGTTAAGGGCGGGCCCTTAAACGGAGTGGGCGCTTCCGCAGTATTTTACGGTAGCTGGATCCAGCTGGATCATTTTCCGCCGAGATTAATTCCCTCGTCCAGCCGCAAGTGGAGCCGTTTCTGCCCAGGACGGAGCGTGCGGGAAGCCCAAAGAGAGAGCGGCTCACGTGCTGCTGCGGGTGCCTGATTCCCGGCTGGAGAGGCGAGTGCATAGGGTGTCCCCCGGGGGCCACCTTCTGCATGGCGTAGGCGCCACCCGTCATGGCGGGGGGTCCCAGGCGCGCCATGTGGCTCAGGGCGGCCATGCTGGGGCCCTGGCCCTTCTGGTTCAGGGGGCCCTGGTTGAGCAGGTGGCGCAGCTGCGGGGGCGGGCCCCCTCCCATGCCGTACCCGTACGGGGGACCGGGGTAGCCGGGGGGGCTTGGCCGGGGAGGGTTGCCCGCCAGGGCGTGCAGGGGGGGCATGGGGCCCTGCCGCTGGGGGTACTGCGAGCAGAGGGCTCGTGTAACCACCACTTCCCCACGGTGGAGCGTAGATGTCTGCGGTCCCACTCGGGCGACGCCTCGATATACGCTAAGACCGGCGTGCACAAAATCAATCGAGTTGATGTCGAGGCAAAACGAGCATGCCTAGCCCATCGTCTGCCTTCTTTCTCCACTCTTTTTCTCACAGGACGACCGACGTCAAAGCCTGACACATTCTGCTGTCGTCTTTACCCCCCCCCGACTGCAAGGATGCACGCAAGCTCACTCCAAACATCGACAAGGGCAACCGCCTCCGAGCGTTGGACAACAGAATCGGACAGTCAAGACCAAAGTAGATGAGGGGAGTCAATGCTGTAAACGATTTAAATTTTGCGAGGACCTCAGTTCTGCGGCATTCTCAATTTAAAGAATGTTGCGAAAAATAGATTGTGCGGATATAATACCCGATCGTAACGAATAGGCAGTAAATCTCTCTCAATCGTATAGTTTTGTGCCTGCGCAATATTCCCAAAACCTGCCGTTCGTGAAATCTACGAAATATTGAACCCGCGAAAATAAAGTTGTTTCCAGTGTGGAAAAGACCCTTCGCAAAAGTCTATCAATCCACCCTGTCCACCGCCAAACCAGACGTTCTAATAGTGGCACTGCACACCTTCTCTGTGCCAGGAAAAGCGAGAGTCTTCAAATGCAATTAAGCGGAAGCGGGCAATCAATTCTAGCAAGTTGCACGTTGCCTTCTACTCACAAGGTCGAAAGTGGTCGATTTTGACGATTTTGGTTGGCTATCGTTGCCATTAGAGCGAACAAATTGGAAGTCTTCAGCAAGCCACTAGGTGGCTCCAACTTCTGAAGAGTCTATTTGGGATGACGTTGCAGACGCAGCTGAAGTCCTCTGAGCAGCCCAATGGGCTTACCTCTTCAGCTGCAGACCCGAGTCGATATGTGTGCAATAAACTACAATAGTGATAGAGATTATAACTACTAAGATTTTGTTTATCAATTCATTGAAACAAAATCTTTCCTCCCCACCAATACACGGTTTGAGCATTATATACAAAGATTCCGGCTAATCACAAAGCTAATCACAAAGACTCGGACAGCCCACGACAGCGTCACAATGAGCAAGGCCATCTTACTATCACAATCAACACAAAACAAGCAATCAAGGAGGCATACAAAAAGAATGAAAGGGCCAAAAAACAAAAACCTGACAACCTACACAGAGTTTTCTTGGTTCACGGACAATGACAACGATGTCGCATCACGCTTTGTTAACTTTCGCTGGACAGTACGAGGAAACCCTAGACCGCCGATTGGACCATCTATGAATGTTTGTGTGCAACCAGATTTCTTCCAAGAGCTACACCCATAGCTATCCATGAGAGAACAATGACTTATCCAATAGACCCTTTTCAAAATTCAGTGCCATCTGCTGGTTCAAGTTGCAGTTTATTTGCCAAACTAATGGCAGCCACGAAAATGTATTTCAGCGGGCACAGTCAATTTTGCATGTCAATAGCAGATGAGAACGAGTTCTTTCTCTATTTTAGAGCGCAGCTCTTAGGCGCCCGTTTCCAAGTTGAGCGGCGTCGCCATCGGCGTCAACGTAACTGCACGCGTTGTATTATGGGAATAATGCAACCGGGCATAACCACGCGTTGCATAACGGGAAAATTTCCCCGCTAAATTTATCAGGAGAATTTCCTCGCTAAATTTAGTGGGAAACTTTTCCACTAAATTTAGCGGTGAAAAGTGACTGCTAAATTTAGCGGGGAAATTTGTCCACTAAATGGGGGGGGAGCGGGAGACCAGGAAAGGAGGGAGAGAAGGGGCATACCTTCCCCTCTTCCTCCTTAAGAGCTGCACTCTCATTTGGCATTAGATAAAATTGTAAGTCTTTTTTTTTTTCGTTTCCAGTTTCCACGGTGTGAACGCAAGAAGTGGCCAGCACAAAGCGCTGACCCATAAACTTGTTGACAAGATTCCTGTCATCAAGTGGCTGAGCCGACTCGGTGGAAAAAAGTTGACTGAACTTGAGTTTAAAATGCATGCTGGCGCAGCACTTGCATTGCGTTCTACCAACGTCCCGAATGTACAGATCTCACATCCTCTGCTTGGGAGCATCTCCAGCTTTTCCCTTCATCAGCCATCCCAGAAGGCCACTTTAGTATGGTACAGACGCGTCGGACGGTAATCAGAATGACCAGACTGAATTTCGGAAAGGGTCTATTGTTTCTAGTTTCAGGGCAGGCCCTCCTGCTCTTTTGTGCCCGCGTATTCCTCTCGGTTCAGCGACACTCTTGCGCCCTGCACCGCAGGTGTCGGCAGAACGGAAACGAACAAGACACGACAGCGGGGAAAGCCTTGTGCTGTGGGGGGCATGTGGGGAGGGGGGAGGGCCAAAGAGGGCTTGGATAGAAGATACCCACGTGATAGAGTCCTGCTCCTGAACCAGGAGGGTGCGATGCGGGGTGGTAACCCTCGGGGTACCGTGGGACAGACTGTGTGCAGCGGCGGCCACAAACAAGAACAGACACGACGGGAGTGAGGCAGAGAGCGACTGGCAAAACTAAAAAACAAGGAGCACACGTGAGAGAGAGAGTCAGAGAGCATGCAGAGTGGAACTGAAGAAGAGAATCCAGAGAACCTAGCCGACCGTTAGAGAACCCAAAAAAGTGTGCGGCTACATCATGTCCAGCTGTGCAAAGCCATTGCAATACCGTCTATCTAGCCTTACCCCCAGCACGCCATGCCTTCCATTTAGTCGGTGCATCTCAATCGCTGCTGGAGAACGCTAGCTGAAGAAATCTCTTTGCTAAGTAACCCCACCTCCAAGTACTCCTGGTAATTTTCATCAACACTCATAACAGCTGGAGATCATCTTGCAAAAAGCTGATTTTTTTTAGACAAACGTATTGGCAAGGATATTGGTAATGCCACTAACGAAACAAAACCACTAGAAGCTAAGGCTAACCCTGTAAACCCATCAGCTGCTCTACTAGCAGTCCCAGTGCTTGTTTCAGAGCAATGCAATATTGCAGGCACCCAACAAGCAGCCATCAAAGACAGTAGTAGCATGCATAGCCACAACCACATTGATGGTACAGAGTATTAGTACCGCAACCACATTGGGACAGAAATAACAGGATGAATGCACTTCTCAAATATCAAAAACTTTGCATGTTCACACTCCAGAAGCCATAGGCGGCAATCAATCAAAACATTTGAGACGTCCGATAATGCATTTGAAGGTAGTTAGAGGGGGAGTCCCATAGAATCACATGTATCTAGGACCCTTCAAGATCTGGAACTCTCAAACTGTCACTAACTGCTGCCTACGTCACAAGCTACCAGGATGCTTCCAAAAACACCAGAAGTTCACATTCCTGGTATTCCTGTAGGCAGCACTAGAGTTGTTATTTCAAGAGATGCACTTAATAACTGCCCCAATTATGTCCACAAGAACAGAACCACAACGGCATGCACCTAGATGACAAAAAATATTGGTATTAGTGTTTTGTCGGACATACAACGTGACACTCAATTTTACAGCTGGCATTCCAGGAATATGTCACTTGATAACCCCCTCGAATGCAAACAGACGAGAGAGGGGATAGGAAGCAGCTGTGGCATAGAGTTAAAACAATAATCTAGAGGAAAAGGTCAAACGCACTCCGGTTGCTTCGGAAAGGCATAGACAAATCGATCAATGGTCCCGTGGGTGGTTTCAATGGGCTCATTTTGCTGGCGAAGCCTAAATGTACACAAGGAAGCAGCAAAACATCACCTGTAAGGTCTCTACCTAGTTCTTTACTAGCTTAATTTGCAGGGAAACACCAGAGCCACGCATTGTATAAAAATAAATAAAGCTGACAAGCACTCGAACAACTTGCACTCGTGGTGTATTGGGGACCCACCTGCCCGGAAGTGGACGAGGGTCCGTCGGGCACAGGCCTGTGCTGGGCGTGCGCTGCGGCCGTCACCAGCGGAGGCTTGGCTGCCCAGGGAGGGTTGCCGACAATGGGCTGCTGGTCCACGAGGATGCAGCCCATGTCCCCAATGTAGCTAGTCAGGAAGTCTGCCTCATACAGGAACTTGATGTCCACCACATGCTGCGGGTTGGGGATCTCGCAGCGGGTCTTGAGCACCGTCCGCATCTGTTGCCCCAGGGACACGATCTGGTCGAGCGTTAGCCAGCTCTCACCTCTGCCCTCGGGGTTAGAGCTCACGCACTGCACGAGCCTGAGCACTTGGGAAATCCCGCCGACACGGCCACACTCTATGGCCGGAAGGCTTAGTGAAAATTCTGTCCGTTCCACTATCTAACGGCAGTTGTAAGAGGACCCAGGAAAGAAGGACCTCGTGTTCAGGAAAAAAATAAATGTGCCGAAACAAGAAATACTCCCAAGTAACAGGCTTCGGAGGCAGTCCAAAGAGCGATGAATGGCTGTCATTCTGCCTACCTGGTTGCAGATGGTCCTTTTGCTGAACACGAGGGCAACGTCGCTGCCACGGTTGATGGCTGCCTCGGCAAACTTGTGACACTGGGCTAGCTTGAGGGAGAGAGCCATCAATTCTTCATTCTTCGAAGAAAGCTGCATCTTCTTCTTATTGCAGATGTCGTTTAGCTCTTGCAGAAGTAACTTTCCCCTCTTGTTGATCTCAGTGATGAACCTGCACAGGTCACCCAAAGAAAGGTAACTCAGTAGGGATACCTGTTGGCCAAGGTCACAAGCACTAAAGGTCAGTTGACAAAGCAAGAGCCTCACCTTACTGCAAACATCTTGATGTCGCTTGTCACCTTCTGCTCCTGCTGCGTAATCTCGTGGTGGCGCTTGCTGACAAGGTTGCGGGCACCCTCTATGTAGGACTGCTTTTCCCTAATTTTGGCAAGGAGTCCATTCAAACTAGTTTTTTGCTGCTCACAAGCTGAGGATATAAACTGGTACTTGTGGTCCTTGTGTTCTTGGAGCTGGCAGTCACGGCAAGTCAACTTGTCACAGGTTTCGCAGTAGAGCTTGAGTTGCTCCTGGAAGCCAGGCAAGCCTCTAGCAGTAACTCATGTGCAGTTTCCTGAGGCAAGTTCAAGCTGCCCTCGCTCATGTTATTAGTCTCTTAATCCTGTCAGCAGATCTCAGAAAAATCAACCCTTTTAGCCGGGAAGGTGGGCCTGGCTCATTTAATAATATAATATTTGTTTACCCTTCTCAGAAAGTTGTAAATTCAAGGTCCTCAAGATACTACAATTTGAGCATATATGCGGCAGTCTTAATACCAAGCTACCACCCCATGCTCTCAGGTATTGCAAATTACTGAATATAATGCATGAAATTTGAAAGTGAAAACAGAGAGTCTTAGACAGCTGGGACATCAATCAAAATCTAGCTGTTCCACCGTTAACACAAATAACATTTGTAGCTGCCATCCCCACGTGTTTTCAGCAAACTGAGTTGGCCATCTGGATCGCATCAGAAACCGGAATGATTTCACTCGGACCTATCACTTTACTTCTATTTTAGTCAACGAAACCACAAGAGAAAGCCACGCATTATGGCGTACCTGTTTGTGGTTCTCGCAGAACATGTACTTCTGGCCAAGAGTGGCTGGCTTCTCTCCCTCCAGCTCATCTTTGGTCTTGATGGTGTGGTCCTTGGTGACTCGGACCCTCTGGTGAGCGTCGATGCAAGTCTGGCACAGCCAGTCTTGGCAGTCGACACAGAACCCGGTGGCTGAGGCGCTGTCTTCACAGCTGGTGCAGGTGTAAGTCTTGGCTGTCTCGCTGCCCTTGTTTTCGCTGTTGCTAGCTAGATGCTCCATGAGGAACAGATGACTGATGACATCCTGGCCGGAGATGTCTTGCTGGCATTCTGCGCACCGAACTGCAAGAACAGAAGGAAAAGATTCTTTATGGTGTACCTCATACAACTTGAACACCCTATTACAGAAGTACAGAGTTTACTGCCTACACCACTGGGTAACACCAATCATTCAAAACTTCCTTACATGCCGTGCACGAGTACCGGACATTTCATAGAACGCCGGTTGATCCAATGCGGTTTCATCAAATCACTTGAAACCGTTTCATCAAATTTTGCTTCACCAAATTTTGGAGCATCATAGTGTTTCTTACTTGTTTTACTCTCACTTCCAAGTTGTTTGCACGCTGCTTTCGAATCACTAGAAATAGAATTGCTAACCTGGTCACGCTTTCACCAAACGTATGGTGAAATCATAAAACATAACAAACCCTAGACTTACTGTTTCACGTTAAGATAAGCGGCTGTACTAAGTTCTCCACCACATACTTTGTTCCTATTTGTTCACGCATGAAAGGTACATCCAAAAAAAAATATAACTATTTTTGCTATGCACCTTTTTTATTTTGTATTTATATATTTACTTGTGTTTTCATTCTACCCCAGGAGAATAGCTTCCATTCTAAGGATGTAGGTTCAAAAGCCGACAGGTCCAGAGTTCTGCCCCATAATGAAAAATTAACAAAAAGGGGAGACATCTTTTTTCTTTTTTTCTGTTTCACGCAACATGGAGATATGTCATTGCTTCAAGGATTACTTGGTGCTTGAAACAGAATATGCCTCTTCAAGGAGGAGGACACACTCTTGAGAGAATGTACCTTCATCACTGCATCAGATGATCACAGGTTTCATCAAATGTCAAGGCGATGTTCCCGTTTATTATTGGCCACATTAGCAGCAAAGGTCGTCAGTTACAATAAGGAAAATGGAAATGGAAGGTGTAGCAGAGGAAATAAAGTGTCTTATTAGTAGTTCCCCTCTATGCATGAAACGAAAGGTCTGCTCCTTCTGGTGTTAAAAGAAAACTATTTCCTAGGTCAAATACTTCTACTGCTCAACTATGCAGTGTTCTATAAAATGGCATTCAATGAATTAGTGTTCAAAGAAACAGCTTCGATGAAGCGGTATTCGATAAAATGTCTGGATTCAGTCGCACACCACAAATCTTGATTGCTAAAATATGTTGCTCAGAAGCAAAGGTAGGAAGCAGTTTCAGTGGTGATGCTGAAACGAACTTGGTTTTATCACGCCAAGACAACGCTGCTTGCATTATGGGGCTTTGCCAAGGAGGCCCATCCTGATGTAATAAATTTATTCATTCATTCATTTCTTGTAGATTTATGCCCCATATAATCCAACGAGACAACTGTTGTTGTTCACTGGACCCCATTTCACAGCATATTAAGAAGTGTTTGTGCGCGAGCTGCTGATACGTGCCAGCGCAACCACCACGCTAAAAAATGGACAGTGAACTTCACACAAGCTCAGCAAGATGTATATAAAAAAATTAAGATACAAGACCTATTTTATGAGCAGCACAGCCCCTTATGCTATAAAAATTGCATATATAAAATATATTTTATGAGCAGCATAGCCCGTTAGGCCTAACCGAGTTAGGCTTAAGAAGCGGTACACGTAACAAAAGCATCTTCACGTGCAATATGTGTGCACGATGTTCTTAACTCCGATACAGAAATGCCTATATCTTATTGTCGTCGATTACACAAGACAGATTTCTCCTTTCGGACCGCGTTGTAAGAACGAAGCACTTTTGGCCCACTAAAAAAGACCCTCCCCAGAAAATCTTTAACGTGCGACGAGCTTCCAAGACCAAGCCCGAAAAGGCAAGCTCAAAAAATGACGCACACGCCACAAGATGGCGACACCACTACTGCGCACTCGGGATAACCAGGAAAATGGTTAAAGTATTCATACTCAGAACAACTTGGGTGTTCACGTATTGAACATCAAAAGCAAACAACGCAAGACAACCAAACGAAAAAAACAAAGAACGCGCGACCTTTAGCCACCAGCCCAGGCCCCGATGCAGCTGGCTCATAATGGCGGCGACGCCAGCAGGTTTTGGGAGGAGACAAGGACACCCGTTTCCTCCAGCTAATCTCCGAGACCCATACAAAGTCCAAAGCGAGGCCCAAGCCGCTTTTGTTCAAGAAGGCCACCAACACTCTTTTATTCCAGACACCTGCTCGAAACACACAAACAGAAGAAAAGTGGATCGAGGCTAAAGTGCGGAGAGTGAGGAAGACTACAAGGGCCGTAATCCAAAGGCCACGCTCTTATTTTCTCTTTTCCCTTCCCAAGGCTCTCCAACAAGCACCGCGCCATATAAAAAGAAAAAAAAAAAAGGACACCCAAAGAGGCGGAGGGAAGCCATCGCACTTCCCAAACACCCCAACGAACTGACGAGGCCTGCAGCAGGAGAAGCCCGCAAAGAAAGCACCCCCGCTGGCAGCAGAGTGCTCGAACAAAGTAGAAAGTCCGCCAGCAGGAACTTGATAAACAGAACCGCGCAGAACAGCGCTACAAAAGAAAAGAAAAATCCCCGACGCAAAGGGCTCGCCACGAAAGGAACAAAATAAAAGAAAACATAGCAACGATGAGGACAGCCTAGGAACCGGTTTTGCTGGCGAACAGCCAGGGCAAGCCAGGTCGGCTTGGCGAAGCGGGACAGAAAAATAAAGCAGGCAGACAGGCGCCCTCGCTCAGAAGCGAAAGGGGGCGAATCCGGTCGCCTAGCAACCGAGCTGATGAGCCCACCGAACTCGAGGGGGCCCCCTGCCAGCGCCGGCTGAGCTGGGCGGCCGGCTTTCCATCGATGGTTGCCCAGCAACGGGCATACCATCGCCCCCCTTCCGAGCCAGTTTCTGTCTCTTTGTTTGCTATCTGTCACAACTCGCTGTATTCCTGCTTCCGCCGGTTCCCCCCTCCCTCCCAGCCGGGATCGAAAGCGATCCCTCTCCAACGGCTGCTTCAACAGCGCCCGCCGCAGTTGGCACTATGCGATTGCTCCTCCGTTTCCGCCGCCCTAAGCTGAGATTTGGGCGGGAGCTACGTGCCCGTTGGACCGACCCGACTCTCGTATGGGCGTTATCACGTGCCGAAAGAGACGCGGGACTGCTCCGAGTGGGACCTAGCTTCAACCGCAGCTTTTGGGTGAACGGAGCAGACGGCGCCGGCAGCCATCTTGAATTCTTAAGCGGCTGCTGCTCCGGCAAGCAGAACGTCCGCCTAGAGCCCTAGACGTTTGCACACCGACCGGCCCAGGAAACCTCGGAACGGCCGAGGCTTGCAACACGAAACCGCGTTACTCAGAACTGGACGAGAGGAAGGGAAACGTAACCCAACCCGCCACGCTGGCGACTGGAAAGCCCCACCAAAATGGCGCCTGTGCCCTCGCGGGAATGGAGGAGGGGAGGAAGCCGAGAAGACGTCCGGCGCCAACGTGGCGGCTGAGGGCAAGGGAAGCTAGACAAGATGGCGCCTCGTCGCCTCTCCTCCGCTGCGCTCATTACATTTTTAAAGGCAGTTGCCATGGCGACCGGGAAAAGGTCGACGTAGAGGACGAGGGGAACACTTGCGCAGGGCGCAGCACATGCTTTATTTACGAGGCTGTTGGGAAATCCAAACTGGAGAGAGGAAGGAAGCGAAGTACAGCTACGGAGGCTCCGACAACCTCACGAGCCAGTTTTTCATGGCGGATTGATTGTAAATCTGGGCACTTGCCCCTTTAGACGAACAAAAAAATAAACGTAAAAGCCTTTTTCAAGGACAGAAGCTAGGACCTAACAATGCTCGCGTTTTATCTGATCAGATAACCCTTATCAGATCACCTTGCTACCCAGATAACGTTTTCCTAACAAGCACTGACCAGAACAATTACTTCAGTTACCGCGTCGTTAGCAATACAGATACGTCCGAGAGATAAGATAAGGCCGAGAGGGTCGATATGGCGCCAAAACAAGCTCGATGGAAATATCAATTATGCGAGGAGATCCCGAGTAGAGAGACGGCGATCGAAACCGACGCAAGGCGAAAGATAAGGCGGGCCGACAATCCCCCTCTTTCGCCGTCCCATTAAATTTCCCCAGCACAAAGTGCGAAGAGAGAATAAAAGAGCGGCCCGCCAGTCAGACAAACGCTCCCCAATAAGATTACGCAAAAGGGCCATTAAAGATCCCTCGCCAAAGCGACACGTCGTCGCGGCGCCCAACAGCCGAGAGAGAGAGAGAGAGCACCAAGGTACCCGGTTGCCTAGCGACGCGCGCGAGGAGAAGGAAAAAGAAAAAGAGATAAAGGCCGCCGCTCCGCAAATACCGAGCGACGCACGAACGAGCTCATTTACGTCGGAGCGAAACGCGGTCCCTTTCCTCAAAACGCTCCAACTGCCTCAGCGAAACCAACGGGAGAGAGAGCGCGAGCAGTAATCGCACGTGAGGGGCACACTCATAATCGCATGACTAACCGCCGCCGGCGGTCTCCGCGCTTAGCCTCCCTTGCCCACCCTCCCCCGCTCTTTTTTTTATTTTCGTATTTATAAAAGATTACGTTCAACTATTATTCTTTATGACTGGCTTTCATGCATCACGCGAAACCCTCCCCGAGTGACATCGTCGCGAAAGTCTCGACAGCCGGTTTCGAATTCGAACCATCATGCGGGACACACAGCTGCTTCATCGATTGCCGCGCTGGCCCCCGTTCCACAGAGCCGAGCCAAAGCTACGGGCTGCCAGCTGCAATGCGGAGTCAGACGCGAGCCACGTGGTACCTAATTGCCTATCAGCGCGGGGCACTACTCATGCCTGACCTCTAACGGGCTCCTGATTGGAGCTGGCGGCCCGCGGCTTTAGCACGTTGTAGGGGAAGGTGAAACATACCTGTGATACGCATTCCGTAGTCAGATCGCGGCCTCAACTTCGAAGTGAGCCATATCAATTCATGAATTATCTGGTTCAGTCAATATAAGCTCTTTTTTTTTTATCTTCATTGGAGAAGGTGTAGAGCGCGTATGTTCACAAACGATCTCACCAGCGGAAGAGCAGTCC